CGGTTCATATACTGTTGCCATGTTCTTATTCTTTTTAAGCCGCAGTTTCAATTTTTCTTCACATTGACACGAGAGAATCATATTCTTTCTTCTTCGTCGTCTCTCTTTCTCTGGTTGGCTGATGCATTTTGCCTCTCTTTTCCTTTTTACCCTCCCTAACTATCCTCTCTTTTTTTTCCTCACTGATTCCACCAAGGCAGCGAGAAAGTTTAGGCTTTAGAATTATTCCTGATTGGTGGGTTAAGTTGTCGTCATCCTCCAATTTCTTTAAAGTAAGTACAGTTGGAGGGAGAGAGAGAGAGAATTTTTTTGGCCAAGTGAAAGGATGCACAGAAAGAGAGAAAAGGAAAAGAGGAAAAAATAGCATAAAGTGTTGGTTGCACTTGGTGTCATAGATGGGAGGGCACTTCTTTTTAGGGCAGATCCCTTAATCCCACTCATTAACATGGATAATCAACGCAAAAAACCCAGTGGGCACTACTAACAGAAATCATAGCCCCAGTGACCAAGAACAAAAGGGAGTGTGTTAGCAGTAGCACTCCTGGTACTTAACATCAGAAACTAAAACCGATCACCACTTGATACTACTACCACAAATGCAGTCGTTGAGATTCCAACATCTGTTCAGTTATCCAAATAAATGGATACCAGCACATTTTCATCAACTACTGGATCACCTACAATCCAAAATGTCCCAACTCAGTAAGCTCGGTAGCTGCTAGTAATTCTCAATTCTGTCTCTAATTTCTACTCAAAACTCCTGGTCAATGCCGTCCATATCTGCATATCAGTATCCTCAGGTAGTAGTAGTAGTAGGATTGTGTCACAAGATCAAATCTTCAGAGCCATGATTAAGGGAGTGTTCGTTAGGTGGAGATAGGAGAGATTGTCCCTCGTTTTCCGCGCGCACGCTTTTCAAACTACTAAACGGTGCGTTTTTTGCAAAAAATTTCAATAGGAAAGTTGCTTTAAAAAATCATATTAATCCATTTTTGAAATTTAAAATAGTTAATACTCAATTAATCATGAGCTAATGGCTTACCTCGTTTTGCGTATCTTCCCAATCTCCTCAATCCCCTTCTCTTCAAACACTCCCTAAGTACAGAGACCATAACAGCATCAAGATTCAGATAAAACCACGCCGCCGTAGTAGTAGTAGCAGTAGTTGGTACAACCACTACAGACTACAGAGTCGAGTCGCCAATTTCAACATCGTGGCGAGCGATGAAAAAAGCTCGACGAGGCTTTCAGCCTTTCAGCACTTCGGCATCAGATGGTTGGCTTGGCTAGATCCGCGTCAAGTACAGAGGCAGCAGCAGTTATAGGTTGTTGGTGCAATGCAGTTGTCTCGGCCGCCGAGCGGCGAGTACACAGCTTCTCCGTCCGTCCTCTGCCCCCTGCCTGCCTCTGCTTGCTTCCTGCGCTTTTTTTGGGGGGAAAACTCTGCAGCTATAGCTTGCAGAGTAGCCGCCGATGCGTCGTTGCTGCCACTGCCAGGGAGGAGTAGTAGTGGTAACTGGTAAGTATAGTAGTACGTGTGAAAAGTGAAAAAATTCACCTGGAGTGCCGGTCTACTGGAAATACTCTCCGAATAAATTCATTTTTTTTAACTCTAACCGTTTATCCTGAAATAAATTTATCTTTGAGTAATTATTATATTGAAATTTGTGAAAAATGGAGAGTAAATGCATTGATAATAAATAGAAAAAAGAAATAATTGTATTAAGATTTTAGAAAGTGATGGTATTTTGATCTTTCTGGTTTTGTATTTGTATGTGTGGGATGGGTGAGAAATAAACTTATTTTGAGATAGAGAGTATGCCACTCAGGCTAGTTGTTTCTAATGAGATACGGATTTTATCCATTTCTGTTAGCACGCTTTTTCAAACTGATAAATGGAGTATTTCTTGTAAAAAATCTATTATATTATTAAAGGAATAGAAAAAGGAGCCTCCACGTTCGCTCTCATGGCCTAGAAATTCTCACATTAATCGGAGAAAAAGAAAAAGCAGAGCCCATATAGAAATACAATTTAGAAATAGTTGAAATTCGGAATTAAAAAATAAGGAATATTAGAAGAGGTGACTAGAGTCCATATAGAAATACAATTAGGAAATAACTGAAATTGGGAATTAAAAATAAGGAATATTAGAAGCAGAGTGTAGAGTCCATATAGAAATACAATTAAGAAAAAAAAAGAAATTCGGAAATAGAAAAAGGAGCCTCCACGTTCGCTCTCATGGCCTAGAAATTCTCACATTAATCGGAGAAAAAGAAAAAGCAGAGCCCATATAGAAATACAATTTAGAAATAGTTGAAATTCGGAATTAAAAAATAAGGAATATTAGAAGAGGTGACTAGAGTCCATATAGAAATACAATTAGGAAATAACTGAAATTTGGAATTAAAAATAAGGAATATTAGAAGTAGAGTATAGAGTTAATATAGAAATACAATTAGGAAATAACTGAAATTGGGAATTAAAAATAAGGAATATTAGAAGCAGAGTGTAGAGTCCATATAGAAATACAATTAAGAAAAAAATAGAAATTCGGAATTAAAAAATAAGGAATATTAGAAATAGAGTATAGAATCCATATAGGAATTTAAAACTAACTAAAATTTGGAATAAACATAATAAAATTAAAAGTAGAGTTTAGAGTCCGTATAAAAATATAATTTACAAATAACTAAAATTTGAAATTAAGAAAAACATAGGAAGAAGAGTTTAAAGTCAATATAGGAATACAATTTAGAAGTAACTGAAATTCAAAATTAAAAATTAAAGAATATTGAAAGATGAGTTTAGAGTCCACATAGAAATACAATTAGAAATAATAAAAATTCAGAAATAAAAATAGATAATATTGGAAGAAGAGCATAGAGTCTATATAGAAATACAATTTACAGAAAATTCGGATTTAAAAAAAGAAATATTAAAAGACGGGTCTAGAGTCAATATAGGAATATATATAATTTACAAATAACTAAAATTTGATATTAAAAATAATTAATAACTAACACGTATATAAAATACAATATGAATATTACACATTAGTAGTTTTGTAAAGTTATTGCAAAATTTAAAATTATGTTGTCATTTTAATATATTTGAATAATATAATGAGAAAATATATGTGCTATTATACGAGAGAAAATATAATGATGCCAGCCGCGCAAGCTGCGCGGGCCACCATACTAGTTTTATATAAAGTTACTTTAAAATATCACAGAAACGTAATTTTTAAATTTATAATGATTAAAAATTAATTAACTATGCGCTAATGATTTTCTCACTTTGCGGCAACATATGTTTTGTGTGTCGGTGGCAGACTTTCAGCGTTTCAGAGACGGTTTAATTAAGTCGCTGATGAACATGTTTATTTTTCAGCATTGGGGTTGGGGCCAACCCTTGCCAAAGTTTTGTTGTTGTTGGTTGCGTTGATAAAGAGTATTTTCTGTTATTCTGAACAGCCGCAACACCTCACATCATCAGTTGAGATGATAATGATGACGATGATGAGAGGGAGAGAGAGAGAGAGGGGGGGACTGAAATATGATTGTCAGCTTGGCAAAGAAAATGACACCGTAGCTGGTGTTACGGATTACTCCGTATTACATGGCTAGACTAAGGCCCTCTTTATTTAGGCTTATAAGCCAATTTATAAGTCGAAAAGTCTAAGCCAAAACAAACAATCAGCTTTTTTATTTGGCTTTTTTGAAGCCATAAGCTACTCTAACACTATTAAGCCAAAAGCTAGGTTGGATAAGCTTTTTTGGCTTATATGAGATAGATGTATGACTCCACCACTAAACTTAGGACATTAAATCCACTAGCTTATAAATCATATAAGCCAATAAGCTGACTTAAAAGTCTAGGCCAATAAGCTTAAGTCTAAACAAAGAGGGCCTAATACTAGTACATATAGTATCTGCAGTTTATGGCGCTGTTTAATTAGTTCAGGACCAAGACATTCAACTGCATTAGGTATTAACTACGGCTGCTGACAAATTAAGAAAAATCTATAGAAAATGTGCTCCTCTTTAGTCTTTTCCATGGAATTTCCATCCGGCGGTTATCTTAAGATTTCTTAAAAGAACATCAATTTCCTAGCTTTTGATTGATATAGAAATGTATACTCTTTCACATACGTACGGGTGATAACACGTAACTAAATCATGCTGCACCATACACGTGTGTGTGCATCTATTCTACATCCAATACTAGGAGTTAGATTTAGGTGTGGTCCGAACAAACACACTCGCTCCAGCCATTGATATTTTGGCTTGTTATCTACAAATTCGTATCAATGCATATTGTTACATTGTTGTTTTCTCATTTGATCGGCAACGATGACACCATACTCTCTGCACGGAGCAATAGCACGATGGATTGATTATTGGTAAGTAAAAATACATGAGGGTACGACAAAAACAACTAGAGGCTTAGACAAGATGAAGAAGGCACATTCTGCTGACACATGCTACCGGATATAGGTGCAATGTAAAATAGCGTATAGACAAAAAAAGAAAGGGTAAACTAGGTTGAGTCATGAGAATTAAGGGACAGATAGGTTCACAGGATCTATACACCTTTAAAACTACTATAAGCCATTAAAAAGCGACTAACTTTATAGAAAAAAAAACCATGCAACCCATAATTGACGACTATCTTTTCCAAACCATTTTTTCACACAAACACTACATTTATTTGGTCAAACTTACACACCGGTATAAGTACACTTTCCATAAATTTTGTGTAAATGAACTTATACACAGACAAGAAAAGAAAAAAGGAAACATTTTTCATAATACAAGAAATTGGGGCTGCCATGCCAATCAGCAAGGCAGGCAGATGAAAAGAAAGGAGGGGAGGCGATGGATGGAGACGCATACGCCGTGTCTGTACAGCCAGCGGAGGCTGCACAGAATCCACCTAAGCTTCAGGTGAGCTGGCCCTGGCCGGTGGCCGCTTGCCTTTTCTATTTCTGAGGCCCTGCCCGGTTTCTAATTTCAACGAGCCAAAACAGACGGAGAGCAGCAGCAGCAGAGAGAAGGAGAAGAAAAAAAATGGAGGAATAAAAAGGGCAAGACAGAGAGAGAGAAAAAAAAAGAAAGGCAAGAGAGGAGAGAATCCCAATTCCCCAAGTACACGAGAGGGGAGAGGAGAGCAGAGCGCACTACAAGAGAGGAGAGAGAGAGAGAGGGTGTGAGGAGGAGAGAGGGGCAGCCAGCAGCAGGGGCAGAAGCATTAGAAGCGGGCAGCAGTAGATAGAGCCATCTATCTGTACAGGTATAAATCCTTCCTTCCTTCCTCCTCGCTCATCGATAGGAGGAGAGAGAGAGAGGGAGGGGGGCAGATTGGGTGGTGTGGTGGTGGGGATTTTTCTCGGGTGCGGGGGGGATATAGGGGATGAGCTGATTGGGGGGTGGTCGGTTCAAAGCCGCGATCTTTGAGTCGGGATCTGGGGTTCGTGATCCCCTCTTCCCCCAACTATGGGTTCGATCTAGGTGCGTACCTGTGTTATTTCTCGCTTTTTTTTTGTTTGATCTCTTTAATCTTGCTCCGTCGAGTTAGATTCGTGTTGTTCGAGATTTTGCGGGGGGTGAAAGATTTGGTTTTGGGGGGAGATCGATTGAGGCATCGGTGGAAGATTCGATTTTTGTGCCTCGTTTTATTTTACACTCGGTTCTCAGATCTCAGCGGTTCCAAACCCTGCCAAATTTTTCCTAGCAGATCTCAGCGGTTTCTTCCGGTTCTTGATCCATTTGTACCGGTCGATTTCATCCTCGCTTACCCTTTTTTTTCCTCCTTTTATAAATTCGATTCCTGCAGATCACGGCAAGGAGATTAGAGAGGGAGCGAAAGATCTTTCCTTATTTTTTTTTGTATCAAAAATCTCAGAAGAGCAGGAGGAAAGAGGAATAAATCGGGAGCGAGGGAGAAGGCATGATGCTGGAAGGCAACTCCTGCCTCATCTCGCGCTCCCTGCCGAGCTCCTGCGAGCCGGAGTCCCAGTGGGCGTACCTCTCCCACGAGGTGCTCAACGGCAAGCGCCCGGCGCCGGAGGATGCGGAAGCCGAGGACATGGACGAGGTTGACTTCGGCGGCGGGAAGCGCAGCAAGCCGCCATCGCCGCAGCCGCACACGCCGGACATATCTGAGGGCCATGGCTCCAGTCGCCATGTTGCCGCCTCTGGCGGCGGAGAGGAGCATGGCAACGGGAGCAGCCTCATTGGTGCGATTGGCCGTGACCTTACCATCAATTGCCTCCTCCGGCTGTCACGGTCAGACTATGGCTCGGTGGCCTCCCTGAACAAGGACTTCCGGTCGCTCGTGCGCAACGGGGAGATCTACCGCCTGCGTCGCCAGAGTGGGGTGGCAGAGCACTGGGTCTACTTCTCCTGTAACGTCCTCGAGTGGGACGCTTACGACCCATATCGCGAGCGCTGGATCCAAGTGCCCAAGATGCCACCAGATGAATGCTTCATGTGTTCTGACAAGGAATCACTTGCTGTGGGCACTGAACTTCTTGTGTTTGCGATGGCACACATTGTGTTCAGATATAGCATTCTAACCAATTCATGGACACGGGCTGATCCGATGATCTCACCACGGTGCTTGTTTGGGTCAACAAGTGTTGGGGCAAAGGCATATGTTGCTGGGGGCACTGATTCTTCTGGCAGGATATTGAGCTCTGCAGAAATGTACGACTCGGAGACACATTCTTGGACACCCCTTCCCAGCATGAATCGGGCAAGGAAGATGTGCTCCGGGGTGTTCATGGATGGCAAGTTCTATGTGGTTGGTGGTGTTGCCAGCAACAACAAGGTGTTGACATGCGGTGAGGAATATGACCTGAAGAGGCGATCTTGGAGGGTGATCGAAAACATGTCTGAGGGTCTCAACGGAGTGACTGGTGCTCCTCCACTTATTGCTGTTGTTAACAATGAGCTTTATGCTGCTGATTATAGTGAAAAGGATGTGAAGAAGTATGACAAGCAAAACAATAAATGGATCACTCTTGGTAAGTTGCCTGAACGGTCTGTGTCAATGAATGGGTGGGGCCTTGCTTTCCGAGCATGTGGTGATCGGTTGATTGTCATCGGCGGCCCAAGGACTTCTATTGGTGGTACGATTGAGCTTAATTCATGGACCCCGGATGAGCGGCCGCCTGTGTGGAATTTGATTGCCAGGCGGCCATCTGGGAACTTCGTGTATAATTGTGCTGTGATGGGCTGTTGAATCCACTGAATAAAGATTCAATATGGTGGATTATTTATGAAGGATGGTATGCACAAAGGCAGCCTGTTCAATTGCTTCAGTCCTGATGCTCCGTAGCGATTTCTGCCTTCTGTCCAGTTTCAGATTCAACTGGGCATCTGCTGAGTGGCAGCAGTCATGTAACCCCCTGAGTTCTTCTAATACTTCTGTTTTCCTCGCTAATCCATTTCAACATTTGCATTTGGATCAACTGCTCGTGATTTGAAAGATACGAGACTATGCAAAACAGTGTTATATTAATAATCTAGGAACAGCTTTCAGAAGGCTTTTCACTATTGATGAACAACCTGTTAAGCAATACTCGATTCATATGTGGCTGCAACAAAGATATTCATCAATTATGAACACCATGCCTTATGTTTGCTGGTATAATTTTCTTTTATCAACTTTACTTGCTTCATGATGTGCTTGTCTTTCATGAAGTTTTTTACTAGCAACAACGATATGTTTCATCCTAGTTGTGACTTTTGTTTGTATAAACATGTCTGGGCTGAGAGCTGACCTTGCTTGGTATTGTTTTAGTTTAGTTGTTTCTCATAAGTTTGTCGTATCACTGATGATCCGCAGAAACTCTGACGGATTCATTTCATTGATTCCTTTTTAGTAAACCACTAATGGAATATCATTCTCTATCCTGGGTTATTACTAAGCTTTTATTAGAAATGCCCTATAGTGAAAAAACATAGTGGTGTACCACTGCCCTTTTTATATCATAATCTTTTGAAAGGCTTGGGGTCTTTTTTGCGTGACTGCATGCAAACTTATTTTGGATGGGTAACTCTCAGTAATTCTAAATTCTGTGATAATTAACTAATTGGTAAAACTTTTTTTTTAATAAAAGCTTCTTCCGTTACTTGTCAAGTGACTTGCATATATGTGCTGGTGCATGTGGTGATCTTCGCATTAGGAGTAATAGCAGTGTTGATTGAAGAACTGTCAAATATCGCATGAATTGAACTGGAGTAGTTCACTGGAAAACATCCTAGTCACTTGATATTAAAATATTTCTGTTTTCGTGCTGTTTGGAAGTAAAAAACCATTCTTTTTTTGCTGCTTGTGAGCAATCATCAGGGATGCCCATGAACATGGAATTTATGAAACATAAATATTTATGGAACAAGAAGGGACAAACTTGTCTCAAGTTACCGCTCATGTGTATTAGACTCAGGCCTCTATTCAAATAACATCTTTCCCCTGTTATGTTAACATTGGCATGCTTCAATTCTGTCATTTACATGAACAACTGCGATCATTTTACTTGGCATATTCTGTGCAAAACCGTATACATGGTTTGCTCTTTTAAACTGGGGATTTGGTTAATTTGATTGCTGTCATACCACCATCTTTGTTGTTAACGTGGAATGTAGAAATATGAATGTGGGAACTGGGAGGTTCTTTTCAAATTACATACTAGTGACATGTTTGCGCTGATTCTGTTCGTGGTATCCTAGTTACTTGTTTTGATTCAGCGATAGCAATTAGCAAGTGTGTGTGATCCAAAAGAAATCAAGCTAGTTATCGATGGGAGTTACAATTTAACAAGTAAAGTTTACAGATATTTTTGAATCGTTCTTTCCTGACCAGAACAAAGATGGCTTCCTTGCAAGGCAGAGAAGTGCATGCTTTCAACCTGTGCTGGCTGTTTCTGAATCTTGACTGGTGGTGTAGTGGTGTGTGCTTCACATCCCTGTGGGTTAGCAGGTCAAAAAAGCATTGTTCAGTCCCTTATAGTACAAAGTGAGCCAACTTGATACAACTCCTTTTGCCATAATTTCTAGTATAGCTGGAAATTGCTGACTTGTTCCTGGAGCAGAACAAAAAGGAAGAAACTGACTCTACATAGGATCGGTCGATTTGAAAAATGCACGCCTTCCCTGAATTTGGTTCTGGTTTGTTGCGTGAAGCTTTGTTCTTTTGACCTTCTTGAGCAGCAGCATCAGCTGCTGCTACTGCTCCTCTCATCCTCCTATATCCATTCCAGTGATTATTCCACGAGTTGCCCATTGCTCCTGTGGCTGCTTTACAGCGTCTCTTCTTTTTTTTCCACGGGACGGGAGTGTGCGTTGCGTTTGGAACAGGATCGCAATAATTTGAGTGCAGTCGCTGTTGTACTAGCCTGATGAGTATCGGAGTTCTGTCGTGCGGTTACTGCAACTTCATGAGTGCATGCTTCACTTGCCACAAAACCCATCCTTGTGTTTCTTTTTTTAATTGTTTTTTTCTACAGTTGAGAATAATTAGCAATAAATGCGAGCACTCGTGTTAAGTTTAAGACTTGAACCCGGATGAATTAGTTTCACCACAGAAAATCTGAATAATTGAGATACGCTCACTTCGCTTTCTACAGTTGTTTTGTTTGCTTGGGCATGCTGTTCTCTTCCGTTCTGCAGGCTCTGTCTGATAAAAAAAGATCCTCTAACGTGAAATTACTCCTGACGTGATTATTGATATGTAGATCCTAAGATCCCCGTTAGTCTGATTTCACGTTAGATGGATCTCAATCCCTGTCTGATCGTCTGAACCACCACTGTTGTTCTTCAGTTTCAAATCAGCTCTCTTGAAGTGCATTCGTGTTCTAATTTGAGTGCGCCATTACCATGCTTCAGTGATTGTTATGTGTTTTTGAAAAGAAATAAATGTTAATGAGTTTTTTTGACAAGCAAGAAACATGGTCTATAGCTAATAATTTGCTTTGTTCTTCTAGAACCTTGTCCTGACCGAATAATCTGAGTCGGTTTACACACTGTATAAACATCAGCCGGAGATGAGATGAGAGGACAATTTAGTGGAGAATATGTCTCAGCATATATATGAGTTATGCCTATCTCCTTTATTCTCAAACCTGCATTATGGCCCAGTTCTACACCCTTTTCATCCTGCTCTTGGAAATTAGTACTCCCATACTGCTCTTAACCTACTGCTGGTAGTTTGGACGGTTAGAATTTCATAAACTGAACTGCAGAAAACATGTTTCCTTCAAATTCCTACGTTTCAAACGAGCCTACCTCAAATCTTAAATATTGAGAACTAACTGTATTCCAAAAAAGAAAAGAGAGGATAGTTTCCACTGAAAAGCCCCCTTCTTTTGGCATTTTCCTCCACTTTTTTGCATGGACGCGAGCGCAGCCGTACGCGAGGCTGGAGACGCCAGAATCATTGCTCCCGGTGGTGCGTCCCCTCATCCTCAAGTTGCAGGAAAGCTTTTCCATATGGGGGACCTTTAATTATTTTTTTTTTAAAAAAATACATGAACGATTTTTTTATCGCTATGTGAGGATACAAACGAATAATTAACTACTGTAAATTAAAAAAAAATATGATCTATAACCGTATTTAAGAAATTCATGTGTAGATATGTTCTTTTACGAAAATCATACCGTCTAGAAACTCGAAAAACGGCGAAGTGAGCGTAACTCAATTGATTAGGTTTCTTGTGTGGAAGAACCAGCCTATCTGGATTTACGGCTAATTACTCTTTTAGTGTTAGACGACGTATCTGTCGACAATAAGACGTTTGTACTGACTTCATTATGCCGTGTTCTAAATAAAAAGAAGGAGAAAAAGGAAACTCGAAACACGTGTTGCGCTAATCCATTCTTGAGAAAAGAACAAGCCATGACGCCAACCCCAACATTACTTCTCCCCCTCTGCCGGTGGTCGCCGTCGGCTCGCCGTCACGGCAGGCCGCTGTTCCATCGACGGCGAGGAACGGTGGCCTCGTGTGTTCAGACCGTCTGACTGACCGTCCAAGTCCACGTCTGCGGCTGCTGATGATACGCCCCAAGATACGTACCGTACGTACGAGTGCGTGCCGACCTGGAATTTGCCTCGTCTTTTCCCTTCTTCAAGTGAGAACAACTTTTCTCATCCCATAAAAAACCAATCTAGTATTGAATGTGATATATCCTGTTACTACGAATCTAAATATATCTCTATATAGATTCATTGTACTAAAATATATCATATCCAGTAGATTCATATTTTTTTAGGACAGAGAGAGTAGGGCCTATTTGGTACAGCTACAACTCCTAAATTTAACTCCAGAAGTTGAGTCTGGAGTAGAGTTGTTGAGCTGCCTAAATCTAGCTCCACAACTTTAATACATTTTATGAGAGAGCTCCACCCAACTCCACTCCCAGTTTTAGTGGAGCTGAAACTGTTTGGCTGAGCTCCAGCTCCAAGAGGGGTGAAGCTGGAGCTAGAGCTGTGTCAAACAGGCCCTATATTTATGTGCCTTTGGAGTGATTTATGGGCTGCCAATGGAGGGTTTAGGCCTGCTCGAAGAAGATTAGCGATGGCTATATATGGGCTTCTGAATCTTCTAATAAGGCCAGATTAATGACATGCATGGGCTGCGTGAACTTGAAGTAGTAATCAAAATGCAACCTGAATTTTCTTTTCTTCACATCATTTTGCCATTTTGTGAGAAGAGGATTGAAGAAGATTAGAAGATACTTAGAATAAGGTGAACTAGTAGTGTATGATTAATTGAGTTATTTCAAACTTAAAAATTAAATTAATATGTTTTTTAAAGTAACTTTTGTATTATATTTTTTTGAAAACACATAATGTTTAGTACTTTGAAAACGTGTGTGTAAAAAACGAGGAACTTTTCTTCTCAATCGGCTTCTGCCGAACACAGTGTTATAGTCAGGCAGTTTTATTGTGCATGCGTCCGAGCAAACGATAGAACTCTCAAGCTGTAAAAAGATACTCCCTCCGTTTCACAACGTAAGTCATTTTAGCATTTCCCATATTTATATTGATGTTAAAAAAAATAATTATATTGTTTGTATGTAAATTACGAGATGAATCTTTTAGCCTAATTACGTCATGATTTAACAATGTGGTGCTACAGTAAACATTTATTAATGACGAATTAATTAGGCTTAATAGATTCATGTCGTAGTTTATATGCGAAATCTGTAATTTGTTTTATTATTAGTCTATATTTAATACTTAAAATATGTGTAAGTATACTTCGAAAGAATTTTTGAAATGGAACTAAACACGGCCTTAAACGGAAGAAAAAAAAAACCTAGTACAACTAGCAGAAAGAATTCAATGCTAGTACTCCCACAGTGCAGACTGTAAGAAGATCCCCATAGGGCCAAACTGAAGACGCTGTCTGCCTGCCTCGTAAAAAGGCCAGCATTTCACCCTGCGGTAAATCCCGGATGACACCGACAATAACAACCGCGACGCGAGTGCAGACTGCAGCTGGGAAAACCTACTGCATCTCTCGTGACAAAGGGTCAGAAAAAGTTCCTGGTCCTCCTGCCTCAACACTGCCACTCCTACTCCCTCCGTCCCCCCCCCCCCCCCCAAAAAAAAAAAGAGACAAAACCTAGGTTTTTCCGTCTTATATAATTTTTTTTTATAATTCATATTTTATTATTATTAGATGATAAAACATGATTAACATTTTATGTGTGACTTGTCTTTTTAATTTTTTTCATAATTTTTTTAAATAAGACGGACGGTCAAATGTTGGACATGGAAACCAGGGTTTGCATTTTTTTGGAACGGAGGGAGTACACATTGCTTTACCAGAAAAAACTGAAACCTTTTCGCAATCTCTACCAGTTCATTCACCGGCCTACCAGTCTACCACTCACTAAACGTAGGGGTAGGTGTAATTAAGTAATCAAACCAACCAAGATAATTAAACTCGAAATCAACATATAACTGTTGGAATATAAAAGTTAAATTATCCGTCTTTCATGATTAGCTTAAACTTTTAGATTTAACTAGTGGGTACATGCAATCTTCTTCATCTGTTCTAAGATAAGTGCGGCATTATAGTTCAAATCTGAAATGAAGAGAATATGGTAATAGATCTAGAGGTTTCAAATGTAAATCGTCACGCTAAAGATTTAAGGGGACCTTACATAAAGAGAAGTGTTAAAATACAAAGTGAATTGTCCGTTTGAACTGGTCGTTACGAACAACTCAATATATACTACGATTTCGCAGGTGGTAGCTTAGCATGTGCTAGCTGGATCGATCACTGATCTCGCCACAGTGGGCAGGATCATCTCGGCGATTCGCCGTAGTACGACGCGCCCAGCGCCCCACGTCCCGGTGCCGGCCGGCGGCCGGGGAGCGCGTACGTCGCGTACCCACAACCAACCAAACCAAACCATCAGCAGCTAGCGTTCGGCGGCAGCATCATGGCACAATCATTTGATCAATTCAGTAGTCGATCGATCGATGAGCTACTAGCAGCTCGCGACGCCAAATCATCCTAGAAATCTCCACCTCCTTTTTTGGCTGCTGCTGCTGCTGCATCCGCAGGCCGATGCATGTGGAGATGTCAGCTTGTACGGGAGATGGTCACAACCACGGACTGATGGATGACATTGTTGGCCTTCCATCGCTTGCCTATGTTTAATTCACGTTAAAATTGGAATTTTGATTAAAATTGGAACAATGTGACGGAAAAGTTTGACGTTTGTGTGTGTAGGAAAATTTTGATGTGATGGAAAAGTTGGAAGTTTGAAAAAAAAACTTTAGAACTAAACCAATACCTTACGTTTTACTACGTCCGTCTCATATTACTTGTCTTTTTGAGTTTTTGTTTGTCAATGTTTGATCATTCGTCTTATTAAAAAAATTTGGAATTATTATTTATTTTGTTTATCATTTGCTTTATTATTAAAAGTACTTTACATATGACTTATCTTTTTTTATATTTGCACTATTTTTTTTTAAAAAAACGAATGGTCAAACGTTGAAAATATCAAAAACGTCATATATTATGGGACGGAGGGAGTATCATGAATTCGATCTGCAGACTGGAGTACCACGGCGCTTCAATTTCTGGCCGTGCAATCAAAACTCTCCGTTGCAGAAATTTCAGAAACTTTGTGGCTGCCATTTCCATCAGTGTCCTTTGTAACCAATGACTGTCCGCAGTAACACTCGCGTACAGTACCAGGATTTAAACACTGCCTCAAGCTGTCCCCATTTCGGTTTCTGAAGATGGAGCGTCGAAGAGCGACGATGTCTGAAACTCTGAAGCCGGCGACGGCGACGTAGCTGGTTGCGAGGCCCCGCTGCACAGCGATTAAACCACCTCCAAGTTAATAGCCCGCGCGTGCCTACGGTCCTACACAATTACTACCTCCGTCCCAAAATAAGTACAGCCGTGAGTTTCCGCGTCCAACTTTGATCGTTCGTTTTATTTGAAATTTTTTTATAATTAGCATTTTTGTTGTTATAAGATGATAAAACATGAATAATACTTTACTCGTGACTTATGTTTTTATTTTTTTTCAAAAAATTTTCAAATAAAATGAATGGTCAAAGTTGGGCGCTGAAAACTATGGCTGCACTTGTTTTGGGACGGGGGTAGTAGCTGCTTCCACGGATAAATTGGGTTCAGTTCAGTTAAACTCGTCGAAACAAATTGGGAGCAGAAACCGCTAATCGGTTCCGATTTCCGGAACAAACTCGTCGAAAAGTTGGATTCTCTGTCCTCGTTTGAAAGAACGTCAACATTTTTTCAACTCACGTGGAAAACTGAAACTTATTTTTTTTTCAAACAGAATCAAAGGCATGTCCTGAACAAATCTTCTTCTCACATAAAGGACTTCCATTTGACACGAATCGTCAGAATTCAGATCTGAGAGGGTGGCGTTAAAGCCCGAAAATACAGGAAATTGACACGAATCTTCTTCTACCTCCGAGTAGGAGAGGGCTCCACAGATGTCATCTTCGTAGCTAGTTGTAAAGATCAAGTAGAAGCTAGAAACGAAAGATCCAGCACCGGGGAAACCAAGGACCACCACGCTGCACACCGCCATCAAATTGGTCGTTTCGTTTGATCCCCGCAAGATCACGCTACATCAAAGATTGGTCGATTTGCAGGCCAACCATAGCCAGCCCCCACAGAGGAGGCAGCTGACAATTGCCATGCATCGTCCAAGCATTCCTCCTTTCCTCCCAAGTCCCAACTCTGCAGTGTAGATGAGATCTAAATGAGCAGTGATCTTGTCACCTTTGACTAGCAGTACTACTGTAGTAGTGGTACCATGGTTTACAATCCCAGTGGAATCCAGTCCAGATTTCACAAAACTCGGATTTCGTATTAGATTAATAACATAAACGGCTCGGTTTTTGGATATATTTTTTTTAAGAAAATTCGAGCCAAATTTTATTTTTTTTACAAGATTTATCTGGATTTTATCAGTTTTTTTGACGGTTTATGCGAAATCTGAAGATACCGCTCATTAAACTGATAAAATCCAATAAATCTTGGACTAGTTTTTGTGACGGATTATGAAACTAGAGTGGTACTGTAGTGCTCTAACCAACTGCTACTTTCTTGACCCTGGACCTCCCTGCCTGTGCCTGGTCCTTGCAAATGGTTGTCCAAAGTCAACAATGTTTAGTCATTTGTTGTACTAAAAGGCGTTTCATATCCGTCGGTACTGTATGGAAACGTCCATCAATTTATTGGTACCACTAGTTGAGAAGATTTCATATTTCATAGCCTCTCTGTAGTTTGAGCACTATTCGTATATGGACTAGGACTAGGGGTGCAAATTGTTGCAATAATCGCTCATTTATGTTACATCTAAGGGTGTAGATTGCTAACCCCGCGAACATATTTATATATTAAAATAAATCACGGACCAATTTATTTTAATCTATAAGTGGATTCGCGGGTTAGCCACTTACACACATAATTGCACCAACTGAAAGCATCGTAACTAACAAAATAAAAAATAGAGATGATAAAAAAAACGAAAACAGAAACAACTTAATTTGTTGCTCTACCAATTGTTTCTCTTTTTACGGTGTATTCGCAAAAAAAATACTGCTTTATAATATTATAATTTCCGTATTTCTACGGTTTAGAGGCCCATGCATCAACTCATTAACCAAATCCCTAATACGATTTACATGATTAGAGGAGAGACAATTTGTAATTTACATAGTGAGCTTGACTTTGTTCGGTCATATAGTCATGCAATAAGTGAAAAAAAATTGGTTTAAGATTTTTTTTTCGTTTTTGAGAAAAAAAAAAGGGGATCATGATTCTGCTGTGTATTTTTGAGATACGGTAACGAGATTTACCCTGTGCGCTGGTCCATGGTGTTCTGTCCTAAGGCCATGTGGGTGAACCCGGAGCCTAGCCCATGGGCCAGGCCAGGGCATCCCGGGCCCACTTCCAGAAGGTCGGCCCGAACTGAAGGCTCGGTGGGCCCATCTCCCCTCCACCCCCCCTATTAATACACGTTCCCTCCACCCATCTCTTTCCATACAACCACTCCCTGGCTCCCTGCTTCTACTGAAACCTATAGGCTACTAGCTAGTGCTCTCACTCTCACTCACTCACACTGTCACTTCCACATTTTCTTTGCTCTCTCACTGTCCGTACGTCGTCGGCTTGATCACCAACCTTGCTGACGGTGGTCGGTCGCCGGAGTTCGAGGAGAAGAAGGCAGTAGAGGTGTGGTGGTGATATTGCAGGCGGCGACCATGTCGAGCCGCCGTGGTGGTGGTGGTGGAGGAGGGAGGATCACCGACGAGGAGATCAACGAGCTCATCTCCAAGCTTCAGGCCCTCCTCCCGGAGTCCTCCCGCAGCCGCGGCGCAAGCCGGGTACGTACTTTTTTTTTTAAGATAATAGAAATGGATTACATCTCCGGTGTCTCGTGCCTTTTTAAACGGTGGCATCTACCGATCTTGCATTATTGTTGCCGTCACTTGGCGTCGCCACTGCTGCACCAACTGTCACTCACTGGCAGTAGTACACTACACGCAGCACGATTCGTCAATGCAGATTAGCTAGCTATAGCTAGCAGAGTCTGACAGGATACTAGGATTATTCAGACATTCGGTTTGGTAATTTTGGTTGTGATCTTGACGAGAAATATATTGGATGATGCAGTCGTCGGCGTCGAAGCTGCTCAAGGAGACGTGCAGCTACATCAAGAGCCTGCACCGGGAGGTGGACGACCTGTCCGACCGGCTGTCGGAGCTCATGTCGACGATGGACAACAACAGCCCGCAGGCCGAGATCATCCGGAGCCTCCTCCGGTGATCGATCCTAGCTCTATCAGTAGCTGCAGCGACGACGACGATTGATGGAGGACGAGCTTGCTAGCTAGCGATTGAGGAGGGAGACGACAAGATTTTTTTGCTCTTCTTTGTTTCTTTCTTCGATCTCTCCTGAAAAGGGAAAAGTGTTTGTTTCTCAGGTAATCACCGAAGGCCCCTGCATTGTTTAGGAGAAGAAAAAGGGTTGTCTTGTTTGGTATGTACTGTACCAGGGCTAATAGAGATCGATATATGTGGATTTCTATTAGCTGCTAGTAGAGTTATTAGTAGCTAGATTAGCTACTTAATTTAGCTTGTAGACGTACTACTACTGTACTTAAGCTGCTTTGATAAGCTTCAGAGATGCATCTAGAGGTGTTTGTTTACTTGTTTTGTGGATTGATTGCATTGCCTTTTGCCTTTGATCCAAAGGACAATCTTAACGAGTACGCACAACCAATTCGGATAATTAAACACCACACTACTTTGTGAACAATTAATTAATTTGATGTTGTTGATCTGTTTTTCGTTTCTGGCAATAGAAAAATTCAGACAACTTGGAAATATATTTGCACGGTAATTAATGATCAAACCGACAAACTGCTACTAAGGCCAAAGCAATCTGCAAAATTTTTTTTTTAAAAAATTAAAACCTCTCGTGCGCGCGTACGTGCGCACATAACGTAGTGGAAGTACACAGCTCGAGTTCTTCGATGCATCCAAGAACAGATCGATGTAAAATTGTAAAGTGAGCAGGGATATCGAAGGAGACGAAGTCGGCAATAGTAAAATTGCAACGTGGCTTAGGACTCCGAAAAGGGGCAACACGTTCTATAAAAGAGAGGTTGATTGATTAAGCAGGTTATTGGGATCAAATGTACTAGGCCCTAATACCTAGAGGGTCAAAGTTTTTGGCTCGGCCCTGGGGCTTCACAAATTAAATTAGACCATGGAAAGTCACAGACATGGGGCCCTGCAAAGTGTCAATTGCTACAAGATCTCCAAGCTGTTGAAAATGCAAAATGGAGTACTAGACTAGCAGACATCTGGTCAGTTCATTAGTATATTTAAGCTGACAAAATTTCAGTACATATGGATTGTGCTAGGCTTGATTAGAGGCGTCTGATGGTGCCAAATCAATGGCACTATAGCTCCTAGCTCATGTTGTTTTTTTATTAATTTCATGACAGGAGAGAATATTCAGCAAACTGATATGCCACTACATGAACAGTGTCACTCTCTTGTCTCTGATATCTCGTGATCTAATCGCTTGATTTGCTCATGTGACAGGTATCTGTGTATGCAGTGTGCACATTGCACAGGTTAATTTGTTTCCGGCGCCTGCGTGCTCAATCTCAATAACTGTGAAGGTTTATCACCCAAGAACTGAAACAGGATATATATGTACATATAGTCAAAATCTCAGGGGCTGTACTGTACAGATACATCCAAAATCCTCCATCCAGCATGGCGATTATCCTAATGGATCATCAGGATTAACTCTCGCATTTATCAAGACCTTGGCAGATACTAAAATAAAAGTTAAACCGCACACTTAGGAAATGGCTCACGCACGCACAGTCCAAGAACTGTGCTGGAGAACGTGCACAGTTTAAATATAAAAAACCATTCTAATCCGAAAATAAGTTTTGGGCCTGAGAAGACGGAGATCAAGAAAGCAACCGGCTTTGTTAGCCCGGTCAGTCATCAAGACTTCAAAGAGGTGTGTGTGTGTGTTTCTATTGATGAGTTCCAAAACCCTGGAAGGGGCTATGGAAAGCAGAGCTGGGAACTAGAATCCGTCAGAAATGTGTGCCTGCTGGATTAACAAGGGATGGATATAGTTTAGGAGCGATTTGAGGAGGAAACAAACTTTCTGTCTGCGACGTGAAGGGCTTTGCAGCAGGTAGCAAGGGGCAGGACGGTGCCCACGTTACAAGGAGGTGTGTCCGGGGCGCCCTAGAAACGTGCTTCGCCTGTCTCGTCTCTTTCAGGTCAACAGATGCAGGGGATCGACGAGCTACCCCCTGCTAGTTACAAGGTGCAGCGAAAACGACCCCTGCTGTGCTAACAAGGGCCCAAATTAAATTCGTGAACTGTGCGAAATATCAGTGTTTGTTAGAATTTGTTAATGTAAATACGCAAGATAAATATGTGCGTTTGCATTGTATCTCAACTTAAAACGTGGGCAGTTGTTTGATAGCCTCTGAGGTAGCCAAACATACCTATAGTGTCTGATAGGTGAAGTGAGAAGCTGTAGAAATATTAACAAAACATTTAAAATAATTTATAGGTAAAACTTTTTATATATAATATTATTTATAATTTAAATAAAGCTAGAAAATATAATATGATTTTTTTTTCAAAAATCTACTTAAAAAATAAGTGCTAAAATTCAAATTTTAGTCGCAACTAATAAGCCAAGGAGCAGCCGATAATAACTTATCCACATAGCGAAATCTGAGAGACATCCCTCTAAATATTTTTTTAAGAAGAAATTATACATGTGTTGGGATTGAACATAACACTTTAGGATTGAAACTACACATCTATTAATACTGCACTATTAAGTACATCTCACAATTTTTTGATTGCACCTACGAATGTATGACACAACGGAGTGGATATATATATGCACGGTTGATGATACCAATCGAGCGTGGCAGTAAGAAGCGCTCAGATCCGGGGGCCGGGGGGCCAGTCTCGCTGTTTGCAGTTTGCATGCGTTGCACGGTGTGGCCCTGGTGTTCCAGTGAAAGCTCGCTGTAGTTTGGTCACTTTTTTGCCGCTACCCGCTCACTGCACCGGCGGTTTGGCAACTGATCCGTGATGGCGATCGATGGTTCCCCGGCGATCCGCTTGCCGGGACAGCAGCGCTGGGCCAACGGCAGTGGTGGTGGTAGGGGCCTGGCCGGCCTCGCTGCCGCAAGGCCCCAGCCGCTCGCTGTTCGATCCGAGCGAAGCGGCAACAACCAACAACTACGTACCGAGTCCCAGCTTCGTGATAAGATGGTTAGGCAATGCTGAGAAACGCTCAAGGGTTTTTTTTTCTAGCTTTATAAGATGGTATGCTAGACCATTTGGGTTTAAAGTTTTACCCTTTCTAATTATTTGATATTATGTCATTTCCTAATATTTACGTTTTTTTTGTTACGCGATGCTGCTTCAGAAGTCTGATGAAGATTATTCGTCGTACAGTGGGTTGATGCAGTCAGGCATCATCAGAAAGGGATCTTTCACGTACTACCTCCGTTCTAAAATAAATGTAGTAGTGGGTATCCGTGTCCAATATTTGACCATCCGTCTTATTTGAAAATTTTATGATTTTTTAAAAAACATAGTCATATTCATATTTTATTATCTAGTAACAGTTCAAAGAAGACGAACCATTAACATTACACATGAACAGTGAAAATGTATTTATTTTGGAACGGAGGGGTACTTACGATACGAGTCCTTTTTGAGTTTTTTTGACAGGCTGCGTCGTGCAGTCCTTCGTCTCTGCCGTCTGCCCCGGCAGCGCGAGACATGGGCAGGACGTCGTACGAGTACGACGCGCTGTTCTTTGGGGCACACACACGGCCCGTGTATACGAGCCAAGCAAGTCGGCAGCCGAGAGAGAGACGAGAACGAGCGGCGTGACCGTGACGCGTGCGTGGGTCGGCGTACGGCGGGCGTGAGCGAGCGACGCATGCGCGCGCGGCCGGGGCTTGGGTTGCCCCAGGTTGGTTGCCGGGGGCGGACCGAGGTGGGCGGCGAGGAGCAATGGACATGGGCATGGGCATCTAATCGGTGTCGGATCTAGTCCCCTCGCACCGGCGCCGCGGCTGGCCCGCGCGCTGCTGCCTGCCGCGGCCGGCGGACGACATGGCCCGCGCCGAGGGGGGGAGGGAGCCTGGCCCGGCCAGAATGCATCGTTGGGTAGATGTGCGTACGGCCGGATCTCGTAGCACAGCACGCACGGTGGACACAGGCCAGGACGGGTATGTGTATGGGAGTGGGTATACTTTAACTGGCTCTAGTTTAATTTGTTTTTATTTGTAGAAATCAAATTTTAAGTTGTTTGTTTGTGGAATGATATATTGGATATTAATACTTCTTCTTAATTTTTTTAAACTATTTAAGTGCATAAAAACTAACCCACGGGATTCCGTTGCCACGGGATCAATTAATCCCCACTCCCATACTCACTCACCTCTGTATCCCTCTCTCCTCTGCCATAGGCAACTCTGCCTCGACTCTGTCTCGACTCCCCACAAGTTCCTCATCTCTGCCCGCGTCGAGCAACGCCGAGGTCTTCGTCACCCGCTTCCCGCGAGCCACCAGCGCCACCGTCCTTGCACGTTGTTCCCACCGCCTCGTTGTCGGTGAGCACAGGTACGAGCATCCTCTTCCTCGTTGTTCCTTTTTTTTCTTTGCCTCAAACTCAGCTTCTCTGGTAGATCTGAAAGCTTCTCTTTTGGGCTTAATAGTAGTTTGCTTTGAACGAAATTTGGGGGAGTTGTTCAGCTGAGGCTCCATGCCCCCCCCTCCCGTTAGGCCCGCCCCAATGGCTTCTCCGTCACCGCAGTAGAAGCAGAAGTAGTCAGCGGTCTCGGTGCCTTGGCTGCCGCAATGCCAACGGCGACCTGCTCTGGGACCTCTACCTCCTTTCCTTCACCGCCAACTTCAAGATAAAGTTGCTGCAGCGCGTGTGCCTGGAGATGGTCGTCGCCGGCTTCTAGCCGGACCTCGCTACCTTGGGGTATCTTTCTACCCTTTTTATCCCAAATCAATTATACACTAAATTTTGATTGGAATTTAAATGGCAATCAAATTGTGCTTAAAAAAGTTTCGGAAGTACAGTACTGTGTTTAGTTCACGTCAAAATTAAAAGTTTGGTTGAAATTGGAACGATGTGACGAAAAAGTTAGAAATTTATGTGTGTAGGAAAATTTTGATACGATAGAAAAGTTAAAAGTTTGAAAAAATATTTTAGAACTAAACACGGCAACCAAAATTTTTGTTTGTTTTGGTGATGGGACGGGCCGGGAGGTGGCCTCACTCACTTTTCGGAGAAAATGAAACGACGTGCGGACGTGTTGCCGCCTTGCGCCCTTGCCGGACGATCGATTAACTAACGAACTCTGCAATCTTTGGCACGGCATCGGCAGCCTCGAAGCCCAACAGCGCCTGAACAGCTAACGACCGAGCTAACTGTTGCATCTCGTGACAGGGCAACAGCTTATGCAACTGAGGTGACAAGCATGCGCGTCCGGAGCTACTGGCAGTACAGAAATTTGGCACCTTGCCGTCGAACACATGCTTTGGTTGAATGGAAGATATCATATGCACACATACTTTTCGTGCACACTTCGTACAAATACTACACTTTTCGTGCACACTTCGTACAAATACTACAGATTTTTTTAAAAAAAATACACAAACTTTCAAAAATATTACACTTTTGTGTGAAATCTTATATTCAAATTCATTATATTTTAGCCATAAAAAATGATTTTTTTTATTTTTTTTAAGAAAATGAAAAATTATTTTTCCTTTTTTTCTACGGCTAAAATATAATGAATTTGAATATAAGACTTTGCAGAATGTGTAATATTATTAGAAGTAAATGTCTTTTTTTTTAGAAATTTTCGTAAGATTTGCTACTTAATGTGCACGAAGTGTGCATGCAAAACTTATACGAATTTTATGGTTCTTGAGGAGGTACCATTTTTTCTATTGTAAATTTGGTATCTCTTGGTATCTAGGTACTATGAGGTACCAAATTTTACACTGAAATTTTGATATCTCATGGTAACTCCTCAAGTACCGTAGAATTGCTCAAACTTATACACATAAGATATGTTCCCTGGTTTAATCCGGCTTCCAGTGCGCAGGTTTACCTCTCCTTTACCTGTAGTATCTAATTACTTGTATTTGACTCAAGATTAATCCTTGGAAGCGTTCAAAAAAAAGGATTAATCCTTGGATCACTCTGTAATTCCCTTGGGGTAGAAGTGAAACATAAGAGGGAAAAAAACCAGCTGACTATGAGAATGAGATTTTACGATAATGATTCATGGCCAACCAACCCCTGCATTCTGTACGTGAAGCTCCAAAGTTGCCTGAAGTACTCCAAAGTACCGGAGATCCAAAGGAGTAGTTTCGATTGAAAATTACTTCAAGAACTACTAATGCACCGGAGATCCAAAAATTGTTTGTGTTTATGTGAATCTGTAGTTACGCATTGCCAGCAGTTATCTCCGTATCACACACCTTGCATGCTCTGCTGCAGATAAACTACAGCTTGGGTGTGTTTCGTTCACGCTAAAATTAGAAGTTTGGTTGAAATTGGAACTATGTGATGTAAAAGTTGAAAGTTTATGTGTGTAGGAAAGTTTTGATGTGATGAAAAAGTTAAAAGTTTGAAAAAAAAAACTTAGAACTAAACAAGGCCTTGATCCTAAACTAACATAATCTAGAGAAGAAATCATCTGACGAAGTGCAGTCCTCTGAAACAGCTGGTACACCGAATCCTCTGAACATGGCCTTAAACGCAAAATACTTCTGTTGTTTACACATGGCATAGTTTGACCAATATCTCACATGATGAAGCAGCAGCTTGGCAATCAGAATCAATCTTCAATCTGATCCAACAGATCAAAGGTTGCCTCGGATGTGGCCAAACCGGATCAAACTCGATCCGACAAAACCAGCCACATCATCTCCTCTCGATCAAACAGCAAGAGGATCTAAAAGCTCGGCAGTAAATTTCCTTGCACTCAAAACGAATATCATCACATGACACTGAATCACTGATGACTTGATGAGGTCAGTAGCATCAGAGCTAGCTGGAATCCTCCTCGGTGGCTGCACCGCCTAAGGAAGACGACGAAATGGGCAGATACTAGTACGTACAAGCATCAACTAGCAAGTCATCATTAGCTTTCACGCCACCGCCTAGTTGGCAAGTGGTAAGCTTGGCAGTAGGAGTAGGACTAGGACACAGCGGCAGTGACAGTTTTCGCACGCGTTTAAGCATCGAATCACTCGGTTAATTACGAAACCAACAGCATGTAGGAGTACTATATTGTGCTGTGCTGTAAATGTCAGTACTAATGTTTTTGTTGTGTTACAAACTCTGTGAATACAATCTCTCAAACGAGAGACTGAAAGTCTTAAGGCAGTTCGATAGTAGTGTACAATATTTGCATATCCATCAGAGATCGCGTCATGTACAGAGCTCTGAAAACAAGATTGGATTTGCCTGAACATATCTAATAGCATGTACCAGCTATAAATATATTTTAATGGGATAAACCATGAGAGAGAAGAGTAGCGGGCTACAGATCTATAGCTAGCTGTTGCACGGATTACAAGACACACTGTGTGTATGACATGTGGGACCATACATTAATAGTATCGTAAGTTACTATCGTATGAATTGGCTATTAGATTGATTTAAAGCTAGTAGTGGGCTGTACTATTAGACTTGCTCTGATATGAGTAGTTCGCTTTGGCAGTATGGCATTTGTACACGCTCAACAAAAACTGTCAATTCAGATCTCGGCATGTGTTTGGCACGGGCAGACAAATTCAGACTTCAGAGATTCATTCATTTCAGCAGCAGCAGCAGCAGCAAAGAAGCAAAAAATAAGTTCCACCGCCGCAACGGGGGAGAGGCAGACCACGGAGGCGGGAAAGAATGTTTTCCGCAAACGCCATCTGAAGGCGTAAAGTATCCAAGTGCGTAAAGTATCAAAGATACTACAGTACCAAACAGTACAGATTCTCTCGGGAATTCAGCACGATTCACCTCCAATTATTTTTTTTTGTCAGAGGCCGATTCAGCATGATTCCCTCCTGCCCCCACGTGTCAGTGACTCAGAGCATACACTCATCACTCCATCGCAAACCATCAAAAACTTCCAAAACCCACGAGGTTTCTTTTCTTTTTCTTCTTCTTTATTACTTTTTTGCTAGTCGCGTCGCCATCGCTATCTCCTACCGGAATCTGGAACCCTCCACGTCATCGCCACCGCGGCTTGACACACACTGCCCGCCACTGCCTCCTCACCATCCTATCTCGTCTCGTCTCCTTCTCATCCAATCTCAATCTCACCAACCCGACCTACAGTAGCAGAATCCATTATAATTCCGCAGTAATCCGCACGGCTCCAACTCTCGATCGCGAGCTGTTGTTGTTTTGGTGGAAGAATCGGTCCGTGCGTGATTTGATCCATGGCGGTGTCGTCGTCGTCGCTGCTGCTCCGCCGCGGAGCCACCGGCGGCGCCGGGAGACGGTGGGGTCCGGGGGAGGCGTTGCGGAGGCTGGTGTCGTCGTCGGAGGCGGCGCCGGCGGAGAAGGTTCCGGCGCGGTCGCCGCCGGTGATGCCGCCGTTCGAGCACCGGCCCAGGCCGTACGCCGGGTGGAGCGGCGATGAGATCCTCGCGAAGAGGAAGCAGTTTCTTGGATCGTCTGTGTTCTACTACTACCAGAAGCCGGTACAAACCCTGATTCGATCGTATCTATTCCCCCTTTTTTTTTTATTCACCAATAAACTAATGTGTTTAAACGCCCTAAAAAATAATCTGTTCTTTTTTTTAGAGAGGGTATTTTTTACCAAACCTCTATATTCAACTGGATATATACGGCTATTGAAATATAGAACTTAGCCCCGCAAAACAACCCTATATGAAATTTGTTTATATGGAAATTTGAACTCAGGGCCTTGGGTACTACTCAAATCACTACAATCACTAGGCTACATGCTCTTTCGTAAAAAAAAAAAAAACTGTTATACTAGTAAGAATCATGGCGAAAGGCATGTGTTTCTGTTTTTCATTTTAAAATGGAATGCATTTTTTTTTGTCCATTTTACAGCTGAACATTGTGGAAGGGAAGATGCAGTATCTGTACGATGAGAATGGGAAGAGATACCTCGATTGCTTCGGAGGCATCGTGACAGTTTCATGCGGCCATTGCCATCCGGATATCGTGAACGCTGTGGTGGAGCAGACCAAGCTGCTCCAGCACACGACCACCATATATTTGAATCAACCCATCGTCGAGTTTGCAGAAGCGCTCGCGTCCAAGATGCCAGGAAATCTCAAGGTCAAAGATACTTTGAAGTCGATCATGATGTAAATTGTAAAACAACTCATTGATTTGCATGGAAATAATTGTTTCATATCTGAGGATGCCTGCAGGTGGTGTATTTTGTGAATTCTGGGACTGAAGCGAATGAACTGGCGATGCTGATGGCTCGGCTGTACAGTGGGAATCTCAATATGATTGCATTGAGAAATGCTTATCATGGTGGTAGTGCTGGAACAATAGGATTGACGGGTTTGCAGACGTGGAAGTACCCAATCCCTCAGGTTTGTGTTCTGTTAATAATACCAGTACTACTGCTACAATTCAATTAATGCACTCTAGCTTAAGATGGTCTGTAGCTGAGAATGGTCCTATCACAGTACCGACAAGTAATAGTGAAGCATAAGTGCAATTCCTACTCTTTTTCATCAAGTCATCTAAGGTGCTGTTTGGTTGAAACTTGGTAAGGCAAATGTAAATATCACACCGTGAATGGAAACAGAGCAAGTGATACCATGCTTTGTTTGAATTCGAGCGGAAGATCACTTACGCTGTAATGTTTTCAGAAAACGCTTGATATCAGGCGGTAGGTAATGAGTTTGTATTAGGTCCGTATTGTTTCCCAAGGTACCTGATCCCATTGTACTCGAAGCAAACAAGTAATAGCGTGATCAGATCGTGGAAGAAAACTCTCGAAGCAAACAGCACCTAAGCTAACTTCATTTATTTTTTCTGGAAAAGAATTAACTTTAAGTTGTTATTATATTTTTTTGAAGCAGTAAAATGGCAGGAGCTATACACATCCATTTAAAGAGAAAAAAGTTTATTTAGGTGGTGTTACACGTCTATAACAAAATAAGCATGGTTATCAGCTGTACACTTACCGAGTTCATTGTGTTACCCAAGAATAGCTAACTTCCTTCGATCTATGCCCTCTTTTATTTGTTCTTCATAATGCTGATTTTAAACCACCGGTTATATTTGCGCAAATTGATTTTTACTTTGAACTGTCTATCTATACATAGCAAAGTACTTCCTCCGTTTCATATTATAAGACTTTCTAACATTGTCCATATTCATATATATGTTAATGAATCTAGACATATATGTGTGCCTAGATTCATTAACATCTATATGAATGTGGGCAATGCTAGAAAGTCTTATAACCTGAAATGGAGGTAGTAGCAAACTAGTCTTTATCTATGAAAATGAAGCAAAATCTTATCACAACATTTGCAGGGCGAAATACATCATGTCATGAACCCTGATCCTTACCGTGGAACTTTCGGTTCTGATGCTGTAGCTTATGCCAAGGAAGTCGAAGAACAAATAAATTATGGTACCTCCGGAAGGGTTGCGGGTTTCATTGCTGAAACTTTCCAAGTATGATTTTTTATATGATACTTTTTACATAATCGAAAGATTGTAGCTTTCCTCAGCTTTTTATCTGAAAGAACTTACTGATATGGCGATCTTGTTGATACATGAACATGAATGTAGGGCGTGGGAGGTGCAGTTGAACTAGCTCCTGGATATTTAAAGTTAGCTTATGACACTGTCCGGAAGGCTGGTGGTGTTTGTATAGCTGATGAAGTCCAGAGTGGATTTGGTCGAACTGGAAGTCACTATTGGGGATTTCAGACGCAAGATGTTATTCCTGACATTGTAACAATGGCAAAGGTCTTCACCCAACACACATACATTTGAATGGACCTTGGAAAAATAAGCCTCAAAGGTTTAATTTTGTTGCCATTATTTATTGCTGATGTTTTTTTTTTGTTTGTAGGGAATTGGAAATGGTCTACCATTGGGGGCAGTTGTAACAACACCCGAGATTGCAAATGTGCTGGCGCAAAAAATCCAATTTAACACATTTGGTGGAAACCCTGTTTGCTCCGTTGGTGGACTTGCTGTGCTCAAGGTTCTTGACAAGGAGAAACGCCAGGCACATTGTGCTGATGTTGGATCTCATTTGGTGAATCGTCTAAAAGAGCTCCAGCAAAAGCATGAAAGTAAAATCTACAATCTTTGGTTATATTTGTATAACAACATCGCCAGTTTACATTCTGCTTGATTCAACATTGTTGCTTTAGTTGATGATGCCTTTCATCTGAGTAACATTTTCACTCAACTATTTATTATTGATTAATCTGTCTAATCCCATCATTTGGTCTTTCTGTTGTCAGTCATTGGAGATGTTAGAGGGAGGGGATTGATGCTTGGGGTGGAGCTTGTTACCGATAGGAAGGAGAAGACACCTGCCAAGGCCGAGACCAATTTATTGTTTGAGAAACTCAAGGGTGCTTTCCTTATTCCTTTTCTCTTTTCCATGATCGCATCATTATTAGTTTATACTAATAAAGCCCTGTTAACACTTTGCCTCTTCATCCTTGTAATCCAGATCTCAACATTTTAGTTGGAAAAGGTGGTCTGCATGGTAATGTCTTCAGGATAAAACCACCAATGTGCTTTACAAGGGATGATGCAGGTTCGTATGAACTGTCTCAAACAAAACTTTGCCATTACTGCATTGCCCATAGAGTAACTAAAGGAAATTCTACTTTCATGCAGATTACCTGGTGGATGCCATGGACTATGCAATGTCAGGGCTCTGAGAGCTGCACCCTGAATACCAAAGCCGTCTGCCATCCTCAACGCAAGAAGATTCATGTCATGATGCTACCGGTAGCCCAGCCAACTCTTTCCATGTACATGCTTCCAGTTCCAGTTGATGTGTTGTGTAACGGTGGCAGAACCATGTAGGTGTGGAAATCCCAAGAATAAGATGGAAGGAAAGGACCATGTAGGTGTGGCTTTCCCATTGTAAAAGTGGCAGTTCTGCAACAGTGAGAAGGCCATGGGTGATTGTAAGCAGTGTTGGCCTTAGGGGCAACATGTGTATCCAAAAGAAAAACTAATAAATGTATGCTTGTTGTGCACCAAGATATATGCTTGCTGTGCACCAAGATATGGTTTTGCAGACTGCAGTCGAATGTGTCTTAAACATTTCTGAAAACGATGAACATTTCATAATATTCTTACCTCGCTGGAGTTCTCCCAACCCGAGTCCAAGACTTGATTCCGCATGGGCCGCTGTCTGCCAAATGGATCGTTGGCGAACGCCCGGCCTACCTAGATTTTTTACGTGGACCTTTTTTGAAAACTTGTTTTACAATAGACCATAGAAAAATTATTCTAGGAAAATGGACAATTTTCTAGCCCCCGAGGTCCAACGTATCGGTGCCAACGCGCGGGTGCCGACACCCTTGCTCCCCTAGCAGCCAAGATGTAGAGGTGTAAGGACCTATTTATAAAATATTTTTATAATAAATATAGGTCCTTTGATGCTAAAGATGCCGATGCTTTTGTTGGAGAAAATTTAAACCTTTTTTCGAATCCTTTTACAAATAAGCCTTCAGTGTTAGTCTCTTTGACACAAACCTTATTTACATCAGTAACTTAGCTACCATGGTAGGAAGAGTGTCGGTAGAAGTGTCATTGACGCCAAGGTGCCAATAAGCTTTGGTGTTGAGAAAAATGGTATATTCATGGAATATTTTAGAGGTCTATTTATAAAATAAATTTATCAAAAAGACTAATAATAACCGTAATAATAAATCTAGACTGACCTTCTCGCCGGCGCTGCCGAGTTGAGCCGCTAATTCCCCCAGCATGGAAGTTCTCAAACTAGTCCATTTCTAAATCGCATTTGTAACACGCGATCCACAACATTTTTCACGTTAGTCCTTTTATTTGGACTGCTATCAAAGCAGTACACTATCAAGCTCCGTAATTTTTTTACTTTAGCCCCTGGTTAAGTGATTATGATCGCTACCATTAGCAATGATCCATAAATTTTCGCTTTACCCCCTTATTACTTATTTGGACCGCTCCCGTTGGTACTACAGGTCTGATACTTTTCACTTTGGCCCCTGGTTCGGATCACTTGGGAAAGCGTAAGAAGAGATGCTGGAGTGGGAAATGAACGGCAGGATGATGCTCCATCACTCAATCCAACGGTCACGATAATTCGGATGCCCCAGAAATCCTCGCGAAGGGTTTAGTGCGAGCTCCCCCCTCTCCTCCTCCTCGCCGGCCGCCGCTCCGCTCCGCTCAAGCCGCCGCCTCCTCCTCTTCCCCCTCGCGGCGGCTGCGGCGGCGTCCTCCCCGCCGGCGAACCTCCTCGCCCTCGAAGGTAACCGCTCTCCTCCCGTAGCCCTCCTCCCCTCCCGACCCCCTGCGCAGTCTCCGCGCGGAGATCCACCCGCAGTTCATTCCCCTTGTTCAAATCTAATCCGAATCTCTCCTCCTCTCGAACCCCCTGCAGTTTGTTGGGGGATTTTGTTTGCAGCAGTTGGTTTCCCAAGTGAGGAGAAGAATCTGAATCTGGAGTGGTTTGGTGGAGCGAAGGGCTTGGCTGCGCATGAAGCTATGAAGTCCGGCGGCGCTAGGGCTTGCTGATTCTGTCTCGGTTGCCTCATTGGCCTGCCATGTCTTCCGACCCGGTGTTCCCCGTGCTCCGCCATGGCGATTACTTCACCAAGCCGTCGATCGATGAGCTGGTGGAGAGGGAGGCGGCTGACCCTGGCTACTGCAGCAGGGTCCCGGATTTCGTCGTCGGGAGGGTCGGGTATGGGCGAATTCACTTCCCCGGTGACACTGATGTGAGGGGGATGGACCTGAATGGGATCGTTAAGTTCGGTAGGCACTCTGTGGAGGTTTACAAGGATGAGGCTAGCAAGCCGCCTTTAGGGCAAGGTCTTAATAAGCCAGCAGAAGTGACGTTGATGCTGAATTTGAGCGTGCTTCCAGAGCCTAGCGCTCTTGGGGAGTTGCTTAAGTGTCAAACGAGAAAGCAAGGCGCTAGGTTCGTTTCGTTCAACCACTCGAGCGGCAGGTGGAAGTTCGAGGTTGATCATTTTAGTCGATTCGGTCTTGTGGACGAGGAGGAAGAGGATGTTGTGATGGATGAGGTGGTTGTTCGGCAGCCTATTGCGGAAGTAAGAGACCCACCTGCAAATGGTCATGAGCTGGAGCTTTCACGTTCGTTGCCTGCTCATCTTGGGCTTGACCCTGCAAAGATGCATGAAATGCGGATGACGATGTTCTCCAATGAGGAAGGTGATGAAGATATGGAGGATGGATTCCCATCTGATCAGAGATACTTCAGCAGTGAGAAGATGAATGTGGATTCACCGAACTCAAGTGCTAAAGGTTTGAGGCTAAGGTCTCTCTCTCCTTTGCATGGTTCTTCTCTGAAAGTCAGCAGGAGACCTGGTGTAATTGGTAGGAGAGAACCACAGGCTCTGCTGGAATACAGTGTAAATTCTTCAGAACATGGCCCATCTTCTCATGGTATTCTTATGTCTGGGCAAAACAAGGGATTTCCAGTGAGAATGACCAAGGTGGATGGCTTTAAGTTGCCATCTGATCAGGAAACTCCTGTGGCTGGGAACGTATATTCCAATTGTGTTGTGGATGCTGCTTTATTTATGGGCAGGTCATTTCGTGTTGGTTGGGGACCAAATGGCATCCTTGTACATTCTGGCAGTCTTGTCAATAGACCCGGAACTGGTCTATCTTCTGTTATTCACATAGAGAAAGTTGCAGGCGACAAAGTTGTACGTGATGAGAAGAACAAAATTAAGGAGGAGCTGACTGATCTGTGCTTCTCAGACCCGCTGGATCTCCATAGGAGGCTTCATCATGAATATCTGGAGACTGAGTCTGACTTGTTTAAATTGAAGCTTCAGAAGGTTGTGGCAAGTCGCTTTGTGTTGCCAGATATTTGCAGATCTTATATTGACATCATTGAAAGGCAGCTTGAAGTCAGTGATTTATCTATGTCTTCTCGTGTGCTGTTAATGCACCAGGTTACAGTTTGGGAGCTTATTCGGGTCTTGTTCTCAGAAAGAGCAACTGGTAACCAGTTAGAGCCTACTGGTGATGAGGACCAGGAGGGGATGATTTTAGATAAGAAAGAAGGTACTGTTGCCATAGACCTTGAAGCACTCCCTTTGGTTAGAAGAGCAGACTTTAGCAATTGGTTACAGGACAGTGTTTGTCATCGGGTTCAAGGAGAGGCGGGCTCCTTAAATGATGCCAGGTATCTGGAACATATTATTCTGCTTTTGACTGGTCGGCAATTAGACACAGCCACAGAAGTTGCTGCCTTTAGGGGTGATGTTCGACTGGCAATTTTGCTAAGCCAGGCAGGTGGGTCAATGCTAAATCGTTCTGACCTTTCTCAGCAACTGGATCTATGGAAAACAAATGGTCTGGATTTTGATTATATTCAGGAAGACAGGTTAAAGATATATGAGTTGCTTTCTGGTAATGTACAAGGCGCGTTGGTAGATTCATCAATTGACTGGAAACGGTACCTTGGTTTAATAATGTGGTATCAACTATCACCTGATGCATCACTTGATATTATCATTCACTCTTATCACCAGCTCCTTGGTGAGGGCAAAGTCCCATATCCTGTACCTGTATATATAGATGAAGGACCCCTTGATGAGTCACTTCAATGGTCCCCAGGTGACCGCTTTGACATATCCTTTTATCTAATGCTGCTTCATGCAAATCAAGACGAGAAGTTTGGGATGCTAAAAACTATGTTCAGTGCATTCTCATCTTCATATGATCCCTTGGACTACCATATGATCTGGCATCAGTGTTCCATTCTGGAAGCTATCGGTGCTTTCAGTTCAAATGATCTTCATGTGCTAGATTTGAGTTTTGTTTACCAATTATTGTGTCTGGGGAAGTGCCATTGGGCTATCTATGTCATTCTACATATGCCTCATCTTGATGACGCCCCATACATCCATGAGAAGTTGATCAGGGAAATTTTGTCACAATATTGCGAATCATGGAGCAAGGATGAAACTCAGAGAGTTTATATTGCAGAACTTGGTATTCCAGTAGAATGGATGCATGACGCTCTGGTGAGTAGCAACTTCGTTTTATACAAATTTTCTGATAGAAATGCATGTAGCTTTAAAAGTGAAATGAGCATTGCAAATTCTTAAGAATGCCACTACCAGGAAAATATTGCACTTCAACCTTGTGTAACTGATTATCTTTATACAGGCTCTTTACAATGAATACTATGGAGATCAGCAAAGCGCACTGGAGAATTATATTCTGTGTGGCAACTGGAAGAAAGCCCATACAATTTTCATGACATCCATTGCTCATTCTTTGTTTCTGTCATGTAAGTTTTTCATACATTACTCTAAACAAATAGGTTTTCTAAATACTCTAATTCAGTTTTGCGCCTTGTTTCCTGTACATAAATGTACAACTATATTGACCCCAAAACCTAATAATATGAAGCTTCTTACAGATATCTTTGTTATTCTGTTTAAATATTTTTTGTTCATATGTTTCATGAAGGTGTCTTATAGATTTTTTTTCTGCTTGTGTTGATAAATATTGCATGGTTGTCATCATGGTATGAGTTTTCAACCAGACGTTCTGTTAACCCATTTTTCAGCTAAGCATCAAGAGATCTGGGACATTACAAGCTCTTTGGAGGTTCACAAGTCTGAAATTGCTGACTGGGAACTTAGTGCTGGAATATACATAGACTTCTTCATTCTAAGAAATTCTATGCAAGAAAAAAGTACCATGGATGATCCAGTAAGTTTTTGTTTTTTACAGTTTCAACATGTTCCTGAAAGTTGTGGATAACACAACCTTGTTTTATCTTTCAGGATCAACTTGAGAAGAAAAATGAATCATGCAGCACTTTCTTTGGCCGGTTAAATGATTCATTGATAGTCTGGGGAAGTAAATTACCTGTTGAGGCAAGGTAAGATGTGATTCTATGTTGTAACAGATCCAGAACTTGAAAAGAAATCAAATATCGATCTCTGCGTGAAATTACTGCCACTTATTTTTCATGTTTAAAGTGAAGCAGCCTCAGTCCGAACGACATAACACAGTGAATTCGTAACCGGTTTTGCAATAAGCTATTTTCATTTTGCCAGGATTATATATTTCAATCCAAAACCAAACTATGGCCAGTGTGGAAATTCATGGTCATTACACGATCATGCACGGACAATCTGACTATGTCTATTTTGAGTTCAACACATACTGGTGCATTTTCTAGGCTTCTTTTTGAATCTATTCTCAGGATTTGTTCTCAATTTTGAGTATGCAGGGCATGCTTCTCGAAGATGGCAGAGGAGCTGTGCGAGCTACTAATGAACTCCCCCGGCGAGGGCTTGACGCCAGATCTCTACATGGGCTGCTTTCAGACGATGCTTAACGCTCCTGTGCCCGACGACCACAGGTCATCCTACCTGCAAGAGGCGGTCTCTGTTTTCACCGACATACTTTGCAGGGACTGATGCATGATTGCTTGAAGATCCATGGCATTCTATGATATCTGCAGAATTGTTGGAAGTTTCCCTGATCTATCTATTGGGTTTTAACCTATTGGTTATTCTGATCATACACGGGATCTGGGTGCACAAGAAGCTCCCGGCTGCCAAGTCGCAAGTCAGTAATACAGTGAAGAGCTCCAAAAGTTCGTCCCTTGCCCGAGTGCAGTGAGGAAATGTAGATCAGCTATTGATGGTGCAGATAACTGCCATGCTCATCAAACTCCTGAAGAATGTATAAGCTGTGTGCTAAGCTGTACCAATCAACTTTCAGATGTGAGCTGTACCCGTCATCTTTGTTCGTTTTTGTACTGTAATACTGTTACAACGGAAAGCAGCAAATCGTGTACGGTGTATGTTGTGCTGAAGAGCTCGACGAAGATAAAGCATCCAGCTGGGCCCAATTCTCGGCAATACATGCACGATTCCACCCTTCCATGGACGTGGGAGCAAGCTGCATATTTCTCTTCTTCAGTCGAGGTACTTTTTCACAGCTTATGATGAGGTTATCCCGAAAATACTGTGGTGTACTTTTTCAGAGCTTATGGGATTATTCCGAAAATACTGAGGTTTTACGGAGCTGTAGGCCTGTAACAATTGCAAGGGGATATTTTTTTTTCTCATCACACGGAAAATGCACAAAGCAACAACCCCACACTTGCACACTCGTAAATTGGACTGTGTCAGTGTGGCAAAGATTTGAGAGCTTAGGTAGAATATTTCTTCTGTCGTGCACGCGATGTCGCGATGAAATGAAAAATCACAATGTTGGAGTGAGCCAAAACTGCTTTTGCAGAACCATGTGAAGCTGTGGTTTGTCTGAGGAGAAACATCCAGAGTGCCCAAAACCGTGGACAGCTAACGTGGGTTCCTTGTATTCTTCTGTTTTATTTTCCCCTGCTTAATTTTTGGTTTTCTCATATATATGTACCTTTTATTCCGTTATATTGAGCGGCGTTCCTGGTTTTGTAGGACCCCTGATTTCGTTTTCTCATCGTGCTTTTCGTCCCGTAATCATTCACGCGCATGAATAGCAGGGAGACAGCAACGTTTCCCACTCGCAACATCGCAAACCATACTGTATCTTCACTCAATTATTCTGCAACTGAAACCATTATTAAACGAGAAAATTTTGATTAAACATACTAATGCGTCTGATTCTGAACGCAACGATTTGACTCCAAACTTCGTCCTTGTTGCCGGCCGGTGGTGCAGTAGTGTGAGCCGCATCAAGCGTAGGCGACTTTCACGTTAGTTGCATATACAAACGACCACTTGTCTCAGAGTTTTTGTAGTCGGCTGCACATGGAAATGATAGCGCTATACCCTTACACCCAGTTGCCTAAGTAAAATAAAAACTTGGGTGAAAACTCGCAATCACAAATCTCGTAGTACAATTGTACAAATCAGCAGGATGAGGGACGTACAATTAACCTGTCTGCCTCACCGAGGCCTGCACCACTCAAACGCGCACGGGAAGCACAAGCAGGAGCAGAGCACGATGTGGTGTGTACTGGTGTGTGCCTCCATCAACGGCTCAACGCTGGGCAAAGAGAGAGAAAGGAAAGATATACTACTGCTGCCACGACATGTAACATGTGACTGTTCACGGTCATTTTCATCCCAAAGACTATGCGATTGTGCGATGGTAACGTGCGATTGTGCGAACGATTAAAAAAAAAAACTTATCTCAACCCCATGAGGCCATGGCCCTGTGTTAGCTTTTAATTCAGTTGGTTATTTTTTTTCAGAGGGGTTAGGGGCTTCTCCTACCACTCGATATCAAAAACTATAAAAAAATATTAGTGTGTGTTTATCGGTAGATGCTGGATATGTATAATGTATACCATTTTCATTATTAAAAAAAACTCTCTTACAACTTCGTGTCCAATCACCCAACAACTCATAACTCCGTAGTGATCATTGTGACAATTTTGAAAGAAAGAAAAGAAAAAAAATAAATAGGTTATTGACCAAATTATTATAGTGAATTATCTACATTATATATATATATTAAATGTATCGATAAATGTATTAACTTATGATTGATTAAGTTTTAATTATTATAAACTTGAAAAATAGATTAATATGATATTTTAGAATAACTTTCGTATAAAAAGTTTTCGCACGAAACACACCATTTAGTAGTTTGAAAAGTGTGCCACGAAAATCTTAATCTCCATCTAACTCTTGTTGGAGAAAAGAACATAACCTACAGCAGCAGTAGTATTTCACTCGTCCTAAAATAAAATAAATCTTATGTCTAGTACTACCTCCGTTCCATCCCAATATAAGTACAGTGTAGGTTTCCGTGTTTAGATAGTCCGTCTTATTTAAAAAAAAATATTATTTTTTTCTTATTACATGATAAAACATAAATGATACTTTATGTGAGACTATTCTTTTTAAATTTTTCATAAATTATTTAAATAAGACGAATGATGAAACGTTGAGTGCGGAAAACCACGACGGCGCGTATATTGGGACAGGATGTAGTACTACTCAGGCACCAACAGGAGGGGAAAAAAAAAAGAATCCATTTGCTACAGAACGTTTCGCACGCAGGAATGAACCATGACCGTGGTGTCGGTCCAGGAGGCCACTGACCCACCCGCCAACGGAATTGAAAAAGCGCTAGAACAACCAACGTGAACGTACGGCCGCACCCAGAGCCGCGTCCGCAAAAACAGGCAAAGCGCACCCAGTAAACAAGGAAAACCCAACAGCGACCCATCCACTGATCCATTCCAAAGCCACGAGCCCATCGACTTATCCGCACCCATCACCCAGCCTCCTCTCCACGCAAACGCAACCCAACCCAAACCCCCCTATAAAATCCCTTCTCCCACACACAGAATTTCACAAGCCACCCACAGACACGTACTACGACACCGAGTTTGAGCTTTGAGCTTTGAGGAGTGTGTCTGAGAGTTTGGTCATGGCGGACATCGCGTTGCTGGTGACGGAGGAGTTCGAGAGGAAGCTCAAGAGGGGGGCGCCGGGCGAGGAGGGCGCGGCGGCGGAGTCCAGGAGGAACTTCGGCGCCGTCATCAAGGTGTGCAGCTCGTGGGTCGACGCCGCCGCCGCCGCCGCCGCCGCCGGGGTGACGGTCAACGTCGCGCTGCTCAACGTCGACCCCAAGTCCGGGCCCGCCGTCGCCGCCATGGACGGCGCCTTCTCCGCCTAGTCGCTTCACAGTTTTTTCTTTTTTGTTCTTCTTCTTTTTTACTCAAAAAAAAAGATAAGTTAATTAGGAGGAGGAACTAGTCTATTATGTATCTCTCCTCCTTTGATACAGCTCGGTCACCGTGTTGATGTAAATATAGCCGCTTAATTTTTGTCTTTTGATTTGAAACAAGCTCATCATTCATCCATTCGTTTTGGTTTCTCTGAATTTGTCGATTTGCCATGTGTTCGATCGAACCCACAGGAGGACTTTGACCAAAATATCCATATTTTTTTTCCCGTCGCGGTCTCGCGCAAGTGGCAGGATGGAAGAGCTGACAAAATTCTCTTTTTTTTTCCTTTTTGAGAGGAAGGGCGCACACATTAGTAGTAGTAGAGGCTATCAAGCAAACGGCCCAGTTACAAGTTCAATGGACAAGTGGCCCAAACCACAAGCATCGTAGCAGTAGAATCAGCTTGATTTCCTTTCCATTTGGTTAGATTATGATGAAGAAAACGAAAACAAGAGGAACTCCACTCTCTGTGGATATCAACGCTTTCTCCGGTTGTTTGATCACATGGCCGATATCTCGGTGACAACCTGGGCTTTGTCGGCCTCGAACTGCTGATCCTCTGCAAGAACAGAGCAAGTGTCTTAGCAAACCGGTTTTGATTTATGATTTATGATTTTATCATGGAAAGAAGTGATCACAAAAGGTACACTTTACCTTTTTCTATTGTGAAATCTGCCAAGAACCTGAGGATTTTGCTCTTGTTTGTCACCAGTATACCCACGATCTCAGGTGGCTTCTTCGGATTGCAAGTGAACAGCTGAATGTACATGCAAGAAGATGTTCAGTATTCGTTTTGCAAACTGACGAATTTTTCGTGCGTTAACACGAATTGTACCTTGAAAACGCGAAAAGCCTCAACTTGAATGGCCCTGCTTTGCTCCTGGTAATGACAACACATCATATCATATTAAAATAAACTCATATTAGCTACGAGATTACTGAACAAAGGAAAATTAAGGAACCAAGATGCGACAGTACTGTTGTATTTCAATTTTTTTTGAAAGTTGTATTTCATTTTTTAACAACAAAAAGAACATAGACGGCCTTAAATATAGATTGAGATTAGGACACAAAAATGGTATATGAGATATGAGATCTTACCCTTAAAAGGTTCATTAGTATTATGAGGTTATCCTTTGAGCTAACATAGCGCACCATTGCTGTTGTGTTTGACTTATCCAGAAGAATGTCTCCTAGTAGCTGAAAAACATATCATGTGCATATCACAAATCATCAAAATTCGAGTCAATCATCATGTAAAATTTAGGTGAAATATACAGCTAACGCAAGAAAAAATGTGTACCTGAGTGGCTTGCCTTCGAATGATATAGTTGGATGATGACAGCAATTTTGAGTTAAATTCCGGAAAAAACTGTCACATGAATTGCAATTATATGTCAATGGAGGTTTGTCAAAGGTCAAAAATAGAAGTTGATGAATACTAACATCTCCGTTACTAGCAATGAGAAATCTTACCCAATCGTAATTATTTGAAAAGAACTCAGCAGCACTTGATCTATGCCTTGTGAGGAGTTCCTGTTAAAAGTTAAATTGAGCACAATTGCCATTATCAACACCAAAAGACATTTGTTCAGACAACACACTATGATGATTGCTCATATTCTGTTAAAATCGTTTACGAGTCCCAACAAAGGCAGAAGGGAGCATAAACAAACATGATCTAGAAAAGGATGAGTCTCTCCTTTGGAATAATCGTCATTCATCAAGGAGAAGATTAAAAGTACAAGATGGACGACATAATCACCTTAAAGGTCTTGAAGGCATCAGATGCTATGTTGAAGTCTGGATATTGTATATAATCAAAAAATTTCTTCATATGCTGAGACTCTAATACATACCTGCAAAATTATGAAGTTTATTAATTGAAGATCATGAGAAAGTGAGTGGTAACTGGTAACCATATAAATAATTCGCCAAGCAAACAATGATATATTGGATAAAGAAAGAAGAAACATGATATTAACGGTGATGCTTTGTCCTGTGAAATTTACTTGCTATATTATATATATTTTTTAATAAAATGTATATATTTTTTTCATAATTAATTAAAAATAGTAATGTAAATCATGGTCTTGTTACCTTGCAGCGACTTGGTGCCGTATGCAGTCCCTTAGAATTGCACTATAATGTATTGCAATGTCCATGTTGTCATACCTGTACACAGGTTGTGTAAATGTAAAGAATGAAGATCATATAACTGTTTTATGGGTTGAATGTGAAGAATGAAGTCCATAACATTTATGTCCTAGGGAAAAAAACATATCATAGAAATGCATGGTTAAGGAAGAACTAACTGACTACTTACCCAGACATTAGAACATCCAAAAGATCCTGGTTTTCTTCCAAATAATCAGAGGCAACCATCCTATAATCTACCTTTTGCCTTAGCAAATTCGCAGTAACTTGAGTGACATCCTTCTGAGTCTGAGTAAAAACGAAAGAAAAACCCTCTTAAATTATAAGAAGTTTTAAATTATATGTGTTGGTGCAGATAAGCTTCTTGAGGATAAAGTGGGTCATGGTCCTATATGGGTTTCCCTTATCTAGAGAATTTCTTAAACAATAACTTAGATTAAACAAAATGCAGCATCTAAATTCTTGAAAAATATCAAATATATATGGATCCCTTTGACATACTTCCAGGTCCATGTATGGAAGGCAAACAACTAGTAGATGAAGACTATTGGTATTCTCCTTGAAGAACTCCTTCGTCAACTGCGAGCAAGCTTCATCGACTGGGTCTGCCTCGCCATTTCCATAAAGGATGGATTTCATCTCCCCGATGCTTTTGGCTAGATCTACCATCTACATGTTAGTTCAAGTGCGTATTTAGTCACAAATGCATAAGATCCCCCTATATATGATGATATGAATGATTAAACGTATAAATTGTAGTGTCTAACCTTAACACAATTTTGGACAAACACAACTTCCCCCTACATATGTTTATTGTTTTGTTGTTATACTAAGTTCCTGCTCATTTTGATGAAAGCAGAGCGACTAATATAATCATGCCTAGTTATTCTAGTCAAATCTTCTGTTTAATTGGCAACAGGCTCAGCTGTTAATTGATTCTACAATAATAAGGTGGTGTTTTAATCCAAGGACTTAACTTTAGTCCCTATATTTAGACACTAATTTAGAGTATTAAATATAGATTACTTATAAAACTAATTACATAAATGAAAGCTAATTCACGAGACAAGATTTTTAAGCCTAATTAATCTATAATTAGAGAATATTTACTGTAGCATCACATAGGCTAATCATGGATTAATTAGGCTCAATAGATTCGTCTCGCGAATTAGTAAGATTATGGATATGTTTTATTAATAGTCTACGTTTAATATTTATAATTAGTGTCCAAACATCCTATGTGATAGGGACTAAAAAGTTTTAGTCCCATCTAAATAGGTCTAATACAATCTCTGGTTTGAAATTAATGTGGCTTTCGAATATGCGCAGACAAAATTAAACACTTTAATCAATAATATGTTAAAAAGGGGGTTCAAAATAATATGTTAAAGTAGTTTCTCTTTTTTCCTACCTGCAGTTTTTTTTTCTCCTTCCCCTGGCATAGGCCTATCTGGTTGATTGTGCTGTGTAACAAAAACTCTTCTACCTTCTAATATATTGACGTGTAATTTTTTTTATACGTTCGCGAAAAAAAAGTTGAAAAACATCGATGTATCGTGTGAAAGCGACATTGGTAAATTGTCATATAAAAAACTTCCATATCGTTAAAATTGGAAAACGTTTTCACGTTTGTGTTTTCTATTTTTTTAGAAGTGTATTTTTTTACCTGGCCTCTACATCCAACTGGATATATGCAACCTTTAAACTTTTGCGTTTTCAGATCAGGCTTTAATTTAGGACATATCTCGTCATCTCTCGGTTGAAACGGAACGGAACGAGCGAACGATACATGAAAAATGTGTATCACCCACCTTGTGTTCGCGTTTGACGTCGCGCTTGTCACCGCACGCGTCGTGGTTCTCGGCGAGGAAGGCGAGGAGCTCCCGCGCGTGCCGCACCACCTCCACGGGGCCCCTCGCCTTCGACCGGAACAGGCTCCCCGCCCCGTCCGCCGCCGCGCCGCCGCCGGTCACGCACGGCCACAGGCACCCCGCCATTAATTCACGCGAACGCGGTCGAGCTCGCTCGCCCAGCAGCCGGTGCTAGGCGCCGTACGTCGGCAGTGACGACGACGACGACCCAGATTATCACCTCCTGCGGCGCTACAATGGTGATCGGTATGGTGGCCGGCCTTCTTCCTCGCACGTACGCCGCCGCCGATGCGCCGGCGCCGGCGGCCGCGTGCTCGGCCGTTCGTGTGTGCGTGCGCTGGGTGGCGAGATCGCGGGGAGATGAGGAATTTGCCGAATTGGATGGGGAGCGACGGGCGCGGAGCGGGCAGCGAGCTCACGTTGCGCGCCTCCTAAAGTTTTACCGATTCGGCGCTATTTTTGGATCCAAACCGGCCGCGATTCTGATTCGATGGATCAAAACCGGGGTCACGCGAGATTTTCGTGTGGCTGGGCCGGATCAGTATGAGTTGGGCTCGTCCACGTTGTCGTGTCCTTCTCGGTTCTCCTCTCGCCCGCCGGCCCAATTATGTTCTTCCGCTGTGCTATCTAGTACGAGTTGAGAGAAGAAAAACCGTACATATCTTCTTCGAATTGGGCAAAGAAAGAGAACACCAATATTCACGATGTGTACACATTTGCGTAATGATCGACCTTATTATAGTTCAACGAAAATGAGATTTCCTACCCTCTTTCGTACTTAATATAGCAATGCAGTATTGAATATGATATATATTAAGTACTACAAAGTTAGGCTCCCATCGGATGGCCTATTCAGCCAAAGAAAAAGCCAAAATTTGAATTTTCAAACTTAATTTTGATATTGATTTTGAGATATTTTCAACGTAGTTTTTTTTTCAGCATTGACTTTTAAGTCACCGAGAACACATATATAAAAATTTTACTAACAAATTCATTTTTATTCTCTAATAAGCCGTTTTGGCTTATTACGAAAAAAGCCAAACGATGAGGCCCTCACCGTATTATAGAATGAAGGGAGTAGCTGATATAAGAAACAAATGACATTTTATTCTACCAGAGCGAAATTGAGAAGGGATTGAGACACACATCATCACTACGATCGCTTGGGAGTGAAGGAGCGGAACCACCAGTGGGTCGTCGTCCCGGGGATGCCCCACACGTCGGCGTCGTACAGCGTCGTCTTCCAGTTCGGGCCGCCATACACGGTGACCACCAGCCGGTAGTTGTAGCCGCCGTTGTACGGCTGCGTCTGGCCGCTCACCACGTTCACGTACCGCAGAAAATACAGACGTGTGATCTGCCTATAGATCCACAGGGCGAACTGCCCCGCCTGCTGGATGCTCTTGTCGTTCACGTTCGCCACCGCCGTCCACCCCGCGGCCGCCGCTGGCGGCGCCGGCGGCAGCGAGCTTGCTAGCGCGACGTCGGCGTTGTTGGTGATGGCAACCAAGGTGACAGAAATGACGACAGCTATAATGCTAAGACGGGACGACTGCCTCATGTCGCGAGTACGTATATACCTAGAGCGGGTAGTGCTAATTGTGAGGGTACGAGATGATTAGGACGTGTTGGAGTTGAGAGCTAGTTTGTGTGGTGACCTAGTATTTATAGTGGTGTACGATCGTGCCTTGTCTCAGACGTACAGCTAGAACATACACGGTTATTAATTAGTAGCGTTGACAAATTTTAGCTTTAATTAATTAGACAACAATCATACTTTAATTTGTTCGCCTGTACTAAATGTAAATGCAAATGCAAATCCTTTTAATACTATCTCCGTCCCAAAAAAAATTGCATTTCTAGCTCCAAAGCTTTGTCCAAAAAAATTGTATTTGTAGCCATGTGTGGCCCAGCAAATTGATTGATCTAGATAAGATTCCTAATACGAGCAGCAAATTTTTGGTGCCAAATCCATTTGGCTCTAAAGCATGTAATTTGGGCTGCTAATGCATGTAATTAAGTATGCTAATTATATGGGTTAATTCTCTCAAACTTCCTTTTAATCATTTGTATATATGAAATGTGTGCATGCAGTGGGTTCATTAAATAAGGCCATTATGGTCATTTTTCAATCCTACTGTTTTATACTAAATTAGCTGGAAATGTAATTTTTATGGGACGGAGGGAGTATTAAATTGGTGTTTGGTGGTTTTGTTGAAGGTTTCAAACAACTGATCGAGCGTACCGCGCGCGAATACGGTCAATATGTCAGTTAGGATCACTGCGAGCACTTTGGTTCGAACATGCCTAACGATTTCCAGAGCGCAGACGACTTTATTAGGTATAATTTGATTTAATTTCTTAAGACGCGATTCTGCATTTATGCTCCAGTTATAGCCCGGTGGTGCTTAACTTATCTCCTTAGTCGGGATCTAATCACATGCTAATTGATTAAGCCCTAACTAGAAAGAAACCCGCAGGAAATTTACAAGTCCATGTGTGCATGTGTACAACATCTACAACTAACCGACATCTACAGCTAGCTATTGAAGTTCATGGCCTTGTGATCGAGGCCCGTTTGTTCCACATTTCCACTTCCAAAGTCCACAGCGGGCCTGAGGGCAGGCCCAAGCTGGACCCCAGCTGGACATACAGATCAAATCTAGACACGGCTAGTTATCTACGAGGAAGCAGCTTGACAAGCCACGGCAGAAGAGGATGGATTCAGTGGTAATAATCTTATCTTGGAAAATTTTGGAAGAACAGAATGGGCATATTTTTCAGGCAGTGGCACTTTGTTCCCGCGGCGTCCCTGTGCTAGCTGCGTCTGTAACACTTTGCTCTCTTATCTAATAAAATCGATTGGTGACCAGCTTCACCGAAAAAAAGAAGGGGGAAATTAAAGGACAAAACACAATAACATAACGTTAACGAATTTTTGTTTCAGTACTTCAAACGTTCATATGCGTGATGTGCTCAATGCAAACGAGAATTTAACAACTAGCACTAGAATATACATGAAATTAACATGCACATACACAGTGCTCTAAGCCTCTCTTAAAACAATAGTCTGATATGCAGGGGTTTGCACGCACACATTACACATACATGACACACATCGATCGCGATCACTGGATTCAGTTGGCTGCTAGAGTGAAGGACAAGAGCTTCCAGTTGGTGGTGCCGAGGATGCCCCACATGAGGGCGTCGTAGCGCGCCGTGGTGGCGCCCGGGCCGGCCACGGTGACCAGCAGGCGGTAGTTGTAGCCGCCGTTGCACGGCTGCGTCTGGCCGCTCACCACGTTCACGAACCGCAGGTACGTCTTGTTCGTGCTCAGCCCGTAGATGCGCACCGCCGACTGCCCCACCTGCTGGATGCTCTTGTCGTTCACGTTCGCCACCGCCGTCCACGCCGCCGGCGGCGGCGCCGCGGCGGCGGCCGTGACGCTGCCGCCATCTGCTTTGGCAACGGCAAGCAACGCAGCGGTGAATATGACAGAAAGGACTACGGTGCTAAGGGATGACGGCCTCATGTCGTGCCTTTGTATGTGTATGCAGCTTATGCTTAATTATGGCTGCCTACTAATGCTCTATTGCACTTGTGACAGTGAGATTGTGAGCTTAATTGTGCAGTACTGCAGTGGCATATTTATAGTGGAGTGACTGAACAAACTACTCCAGCTAATTAACGTAGCAGCGGTATGGCCAGCAAGATGCAATTGCAGAGAAAACAAGAGGTTAAGATTGACTTTATTAGACCCAGTACATACGAGTTCATATTGTTAATTAGCGCACTCGTAGCTGACTGCTCATTTCGTTGTTAATTATAATACACGTACTACGTACATATGCAAAACGTTCAAATCAAGTTTCAAACAATTACCGCGTACGGTCAATACTGTCAGTTAAAAACTTGCATTTACACGGCCCAACATCGTGCCTAACATGTATACATTTAATTACTAGGACTAAGCTAAGGTACGCCGGTGATTTATATTTATTTTCGAGCAGAAAGGTGACGAGCTGATCTCCCGAGTTCAGACTTCAGTTCAAGCCATACTTGGGCCGTGTTTAGTTTCCTTCAAACTTTCAAAAAATCCCTTCACCTCAAATATTTGGAGTATTAAATATAGACGAAAAATTCAATTGGACAGCTTGCATGTAAATTACGAGACGAATCTTTTGAGCCTAATTACGCTAGGATTTGACAATGTGGTGCTACAGTAAATATTTACTAACGATGTATTAATTAGACTTAATAAATTCGTCTCGCAGTTTATAGGTAGAATCTGTAATTTGTTTTATTATTAGTCTATTTTTAATATTTTAAATGTGTGTCTGTATACGTTAAAATTTTTTTTAGGAACTAAACACTGAATTTTTTCCCCCACCCCTAAACCGAAAACCCCCCAAGACAGTAGCCAGTGCATTTCAACTAGTCAGACAGGATTAAGCTAGTTAATCCTAGTTACTCCTCCGTTTCAAATAATTGGTATTTCTCACTTCCTCCTAAGTTTAAAACATTACATTTATATATTTGACCATTAATTACTATAAATTCATATGGTTTAACATGGATGCACTAAAATGCACTTAACATGCTCAGTAACTTGAACACGCTCTGTCAGAATTATGGATACTACATATCTCATAATAGTTGACTAAATCTCGGTAGGACCCACCACATACCATGTCCTATATGGAAGCAACCTTCAGATATGGAGAGAGTTCCGGATAAGGAAAGACGACTAGAGTTCTACATGGAAACGACAAGTACTACTCGGATTGTATCCATATTGGTTTACCTAGTTCTACTTGACAAGGGGACACCTTTGGGTATAAATAAAAGACCCCCTAGGAGAAGAGGGGACACATCCACCATAGAAGACACGGAACAATAGATCAAGACACAAGATCAACATATAAGCCAACATACGCCAAGACAAGACGCCGGATATCGACTTCAGGGATAAGCACGGCTAGTCTCCTACGGTGTCTCCGGTTACTGTCAGGAGAGACGAAAGCGCTATCTCTGATCTCGCTGGGCATGAACTCGAGGAGGAAGACTACCTTGTTGTCGACTACGAGTCAGACCTTTAGACCGCCATGTCGACAACAGTTAGATAGGCTACCCCAAATATTGTACTGGTGTGATTATGGTGAATAAGAGCAATACCGGCTTCGGCCAATAGGATGTAGGGTTATTACCTGACAATTCAGGGGCCCGAACCTGTATAAAAATCCCTGTCTCCATCTCTTTTACCTCAGTCTCGCATATACCCTAGTCCCAACGATCCCCATACTATGCAAATACCGGAATCACGACATCAAACGTCGACAGTGGCGTGCCAGGTAGGGGCATTTTGGTGCTTCAGGATTTCGACGAGATGGGTTCAAGAGGGATTCTCCAACAATAAGCTACTCGATGAC